AAAAGAGCTCTGTCTCGTAATTTTTAGGGTCTTTAAGCTGGAAATAACGCAATAAGATTAATAAGTTTTGATAAAAATACACCAGTCTTGCGTTTTAATTTCGTTTCATTATAAAATTTATGCAATGTTTTATTTAATTGCCGGCTGGCGAATTACCTAAAAAGCAATTTGTATACATAATATATAATATATTAATATATAATATATTAATATATAATATATTAATATATAATATATTAATATATAATATATTAATATATAATATATTAATATATATATAATATATTAAGTATAAAAAAAGTTAACTAATTTAATAAAAAATACATTTAGTTTGGGTATTTCCCATTGTATTGTATTTTTTATTGGTAATAATTAAAGCCCGGACTTTTACGCGCTTAAAAACAAAATAGGCACAAAATGGCAGTATAAAAAATAAACCAGTTTATCCCATGGGCCCAATAAACATAAAAAATATATAAAATATAGTTTTAACACATACATAATTTAAATTAAAAAAAAATAATTTAACAAATACAATCCATTTTTAATAGTTTTGTTGGTTTATTTGCCAGTAAAGTAGCAAATAATAATTTGTATGACATTTTCTATTGTAAAGATGTAAAAAAATACCGTTTTAGGACCAGCACTTAAATTATACATTGGACCCCTAAACCATAATAAAATAACTTTACTGTACTCCAAAATCATCATACTCAGCTTTCCACCATTATCTTATGCCAGTAATGCAGATTATTACTTAAAGTAATGATGTCGTAGTTCTTCTTCCTACTCTCTAACCATGTTGGTGATCTGTAAATTTATTTCATTTTTGTTTTTAAGTAGGTATACGATTTTTGATAATGGAGATTGGGCGATAATTTCCAGATCCATTCATATTTCCTTTATAATTGGGTAATATTTTTAAATTTTTTTAAATTTCGGTGATAAATGTCCTTTACGAAAACATTTATTTATTATTATTTTCAATGGCTCTAAACGCCCTTTATCAAACATGTTTCTAAGACACTAAGTGGTCTTTTAAATACACATTGACAAGTTGTGGCTTTAGGGCTTTTTAGTGACAGGCTGAATTTAGAAACAGGTTTTTAGTCACGGGCTGATACAAAAATAAAAAATATTAAATAGTTTGTCAACGCCAATAAATATTTAAAAAGTATATAAGCAGGTTTGTACTGACTTTTTTTATTCACAATGTGACATTGTGATTGTCACTCCGATAATACATGTTTTGCTAACTAATAATTATAAGCTAACTAATAATTATTAGTTAAATTTAGTTTACTACCGACGAAATCAAAAGGTCAGTACAAACCTGCTTATGTCATGTGTAAATCGAAATTTATATATTTTATTTATTTATTTAGTCCATTTTTAAGGGATAAATTTCGATTTACACATGTGACATTGTGATCATCACTCCGATGAAACATGTTCTCAAGTTAGAAATACTTACGCGAGTTAGTCTATTTTTTATAGATAGATATAGAAGAACTCGAAAGAATATAGAAGAACTGGAAATTCGATTCTAGAAATATTGGTTTTGATCTGATACACAATAAAACAACAAAAACATATATCGATAACATCTTTATTGATAAAAAAACTGAAATTGTTGCTGAAACCAAGGAACTCCATATTTCGGATTCGGAATAAGTGTCTAGAAAAGTTTATAAAGGAGTTGCATACCATACTTTTTTTTACTACAGTTTCCGCCAGTTAAAATGTCAAATTTGTATGTGCACATGAAAATCATGCACATGTAAATCAAAATTTATCTCTTGAAAATGGACTAAGTGAATAGAATGTTTTATGGGCACTTCACGGTGGAGTCTCCACCCGAAATTTTTAATGCTTCCAGTTAAATCTACTTTACTGCCGAAAAAATGAAAAGGCCAGTACAAACTTGCATATAAACTTTTCAAATAGGTATTGGCGTTGAGAAACTATTGTATATTTTGTTTTTATTTATATTAAGATAATAAAATAAAGTTCACATTATTATTTTACAAGAAGGGCATTTTATTTTAACGAATGTATGACATTTGACAACTTACAACTAACTTTAGCCCGTGACTAAAACACCATAAAGCCACAACTTTTCAATGTGTATTTAAAAGATCAGTTAGTGTCGTGAAAACATATACGATAATGGAAGTAGAAAATCATATTTAAATCACCAACCGGGTTCTACGTATACATATTAAGTTATTAAATTCATATTGGTTATGGAGACCCCAGCTACTTCAAAGTTGTGTTTAATTGATGAATATTTAATTAAATCTAGTTCCTTAAATGGGATGCGCAAACTGAATTTTTAATAAAGAAGCTAAGAACTCTAATTCCCCTATTTAAATTTTTAAAAGAAGTATTACCAATCTCATCACTAAATGCAACTTATTATGCTCTAGCAAAATCACATATACAATATGGAATTTTAGGATGGGGATGAGTAAATAATAATTACCTTAATTATTTAATAATAACCCAAAAGAGACTCCTTAAAATACTATACAACAAAACCTTTTTAATTCCAACTGAACAATTGTTTTTAGAAACCGAGATGTTTGATCCGCGACAGCTATTCTTTTTTGCCTTGTGTATGTATCAATACAAAAACAAAAAAGATCTGAAAATAACAAATCCTAACTTCAATACCAGAAAGAAAACCGACATGTTCCAAACGTACACGCCCCAAAAAACCATAGGCCAAAGAAATTTTAAATATTTATCTCCCTTAATATTTTCCCTTCTCCCAGAAGAAACTAGAACTAGCAAATCTATCCATATTTTTAAATCAAACTGCAAAAAATTTATTAAAGAAAATGACCGCTCATATATCCACCAAAAAATCGATACATATATGTATGTATTTTATAAAATAATCATTAATTTATTAAGTGACTCTGTGATATTGAAATTGATTTCCTGATTTTAGCTTGTAATTCAGGCTCATTGTTGCGAGAGCTGATTGTATGAATTGTTGATTATTTACTTAATTAACTACCCCTTGTAGATAAGTTCGTGTATTGTTGTTTATAATTATTGATCTATTAATATTATATTTTTATATTCTTACCTTTTATGTGTGTATGTTTAGCCCACACACAGATATTATTACAATATCTCGTGGTGTATTATGTTTAATATTATTGCTGAATTTCTGATATTGTGATTATTTAATTTGATTAATAAACATTTTTATTATTATTATTATTAGCCAACCATTTATTTTTTACTCCTGCAAATACACCTCCATGTTTGTAAACTTGTCTATCGAAGCTAATATTATTGTAATTTTCCAGTTTAATAATTATTATTGTGCTTGATTGACTGTTCGATAACCAGTGTTCTGTTACCTATACATATAATATCAACATTCTTTGTTTATCAAAGCTAATAATAATAATATAATTTTCCAGTTTAATAACACTGTAGGGACCCGTAAACTTATTTTTTGGTAGTAGATTACAAATCCATGCTTGGTTTAATTGTATCAGGTCAAAATTCAAAGAAATTGGAAATACATTGTACAAATTTAAACACCCTGTATAAATTTAAAAAAAATTAATTTAGCTGGACCTACACATTAGTTCCAATTAAAAAAAACAAATTCTTGCAAAATTTAAAGTTAATTGATCAAAAGGAACACGTGCCCCTGAGAGTTTTTTATAGATAGTTTAGGAAATTCAAAATGTTTTTTGCTATTTTTTTTATTGAGTATAGCTAAGGATATTATATTAATTGAAATAAAAAGCATAAGAATGTTGGCACAAGAGGTGAAATATATTAATTTACAAATTATAATATACCAGTATACAGTGTGACCCCGGATCGGATTTCCGACAGGAACACTTTTTTAGACGTGATACAGCTAAACCGAGCACAGATTTGAAATCTACGACCGAGCGTTTAGCTGTGATATTTCATGAGTTGAAAATTTACCTACAGTGTAATTACACTGCTCGACAGTTGTCATATGGTACCAAATAACTTTTCTAGGGTTATTGGGATGTTTTAAAAAAATTTTGCCCAATTGGCTCAGGTTTTCAAGACATTTTTTTCGACATGCAAACAAAACAACAAAATTGGTATATATTTTTTGTTATCAAATACTTTAACTAGCTTGTGTTTACATCCACGTGAAATGTTAGTAAAAGTATAAAACAAATGTAAATATCTGTACTATATATATATATATACATATATATATATATATATATATATATATATATATATACAGAGCACAACGTTGCCGAATGCAAATTCATGGCACCTAGATGTAAAAATTATGATTTTTAAAATGGATTCTTTCGGCTAATCGTAAATTTTGAATTATTTTGTATTGTTGATAATGGTAAAGAGTCTCTTCCCAACCAAGGCTGCAGAATTACAAAATTTCCAATAACTATAGTTATTTTACAACAAGTTCCTAACTTTACTCCTTCAATTATCGAGATTATTTTTGTTTACTATTTTACTCCCTTAGTGGTCACTGAAACATACTGGAGAGCTTTTTGGCCAGTTTAGGTACACCCAGTTTTCTTATGTAGGTGCCTATATGGTTGCTTTGTATAGAAGGAATTTAAGTCATTTTATAAAAATACCTGTAGAAAAATTAAATTTTGACTGCCTACCTAATTCAAAGTTCTCTGAATACCTATAATGAATTAATGGTCATTAACGTTTTGCAAAACTACCTTTGGGGATGTAAACCATTAACTACCTTTAATGATTGATTATACCCAGTAACAGGAAATTACTCACACAGGTCATTTTATCTACAAATACCACACAAACCTGAAACAAGTAACCTATAAAATACCGGTTCGTTTCGTCGACAAGTTGTAAAGTGAACGCGTTGAATGAAATGAAAATGTATTATTTTATTGGACGCTCCTTTTATATAGTAGTGTTCTACGTCATCAAAAGATAACGAAAATATTTATAAGCAAAATCCTAACAAACTAAATAATAAGTTTGTAATCGTCTTTGGACACGAAAATCCTTGAACTGCATTAGTAGTATTTAGGTTTTTGGAATAACAAGTGCAAGTGTTATAAAGTGTGAATATGTCGTTAAAAAAAGTTCCTAAATTTTTACTGGATAACTGGAGTGGGCTCGCAAAGCTTAATGTAAGTCGATATTTAAATAACAAGCGCAGCAAATAAAGTTTTAAATATAGTAAATAAAATCCCAAAACCTAGATTAATACTAATAATGAACATCAAAGGATTTATTTGACCAAATAATTAAACTTATTTTGTAAAAGTTTGTTGTAAACAATTCAATTCCAACTCTGTAATTACCGCATCGTTTTTGAAAAACATTTAAAAACTATTCAATTCATTGTATAAAATAACCAAACATGGTAAATAAAATAAAATGAACATGAGTTTGTTTTGCCATTTCATTGAATTTTATTTGCTATTTAATTAATATCTAATTTTGAAATGTACGATAAATAAAAATATGTTGTAATTCATTATCTTATTATTGTTTTGTGTTTTATAAAATCATTATTAAGAAATTATTATGTCTAATCTTAGTGACAATTTAAGTTACCACATCAACCCTTAAGGATTAATTAATATATTATAATTTAATCTATTTTACCTATACCTACATATTTATATGAGTAAATTTATATAAAATTTAATATGCAATCAATATTTTAAGATTTAAGAAATAATTTTATCTACTCGGCCATTCCACGCGTAACGGATGGGACAGTTGCAAGTTTTTATTTACAAAATAACATTGTTCTATTATATTACTAATGTCAAATTTTTATAAATAGTTCTAAACAAAAGCTGTTTAACAAGGTTTTTATTTGGCAAAATTAGGTATCGTGGTTGACCGTTTAATTCCTTAAAAATTAATTTTTTTATTCAAAAACACTACTAGTACTGTTTTTGAATAAAAAAATTAATTTTTAAGGAATTAAACATACAATTACGATACCTACTTTTGCCAAATAAAAACCTTGTTAAACAGCTTTTGTTTAGAACTATTTGTAAAAGTTTGACATTAGTAATATAATAGAACAATATTATTTTGTAAATAAAAACATGCAACTGTCCCATCCGTTACGCGTGGAATGGCCCTACTCCTACATTGACGAGCAGTGACTTTATGGGGTTTTAAGTTAACAAAAGTGGCTTTTGGGCATTTTAGTCACGGAATGAAGTTATTATTCGTCAAATGTCAAATATTTATGAATTAAAATTGGCTTTATTTCTGTTCGTTGTAGATAAAGTATAGTATGCAACTCGTTTTATAAACTTCTAGACACTTGTTTTTATTAAACACTCGCTCGCAAGATTCGCTCGTGCCTAATAAAACTCGTAACTAAAATGGCGTTTATAAAACTTGATACATAATATACTATTATCTACTCCTACATTGACAAGCTGTCGTTTTAGTCACGGGATGAAGTTAAGAACATTGGCTTTTGGGCATTTTAGCCACGGGCTGAAGTTAGCTTTATTATGAATTGTCAGAAAGTGAGGTTAAATTCGTCAAATGTCAAATATTTATGACTTAAAATTGGCTTAATATTCTTATTTATGTTCTTAGTAGATAAAGTATAGTATGCAACTCGTTTTATAAACTTCTAGACACTCGTTTGCAAGATTCGCTCGTGTCTAATAAAACTCGTAACTAAAATCGCATTTATAAAACTTGATACATAATATACTATTATCTACTCCTACATTGACGAGCTGTGACTTTATAGCGTTTTAGTCACTGGCTAAAGTTAACAACAGTGGCTTTTTGGCATTTTAGTCACAGGCTGAAGTTAGCTTTATTAGAAATTGCGAAAAAATGAGGTTAAATTCTTTAAATGTCAAATATTTATGTACCAAAATTGGATTTAAATTCTTATTTCTGTTTGTCGCAGATAAAGTATAGTATCCAACTCGTTTTATAAACTTCTCTAGACACTCGTTTTTATTAAACACTCGCTCGAAAGCTTCGCTCCTTCCTAATAAAACTCGTAACTAAAATGGCATTTATAAAACTTGATACATAATATACCATTAATATCTTATTAAAATATAATGCATTATTAAATTTAAATAAAAATCATTTAAGAACCAATACTATTTCAGAATTGTCCGTACTTAACGCCCGCAAAAGTGTGCTTTATAATAATTATTATAATTATTATTATTATGAAACTTGAAAAATCGGATAGAAGAAGATTAAAAGAAAAGACCCGTGTATCGGCGATTTTTTTGGACACGTCAAATTTTTTTTTATTGGATTTTGAAACTCAAAATTTAGAGATAATTCGTGGAAAGTAAGGCACGCCGTTTTATTTTTTAATGTCATGTTTATTAAAGCTAAATATTAATTCAAGTTGCTTTTTTTAAAATTGACTGAACATTTTAAAGTAAAATTTTTATGATGTCTTGGTATATTGAGTACACAATTTTAAGAACAGAATAAGAATTAAAGTAATTTTAATTCTGGAACTGAATGTCGTATTTTCTGACCAAAAAATTCGATGAATTAAAATTTTGGTTGAGATAATTTTAATAATGCGCTACTTGGAGAAACACGCAGTCAAATTGAAATTATGTAAACCAAAATTTTAATTCATCGAATTTCTTAGCCAGTTAATTCAAGGTGCGCAACATTTATTTAAGAAAAAGTAATACTGAAATTATCATTATGTCGCAATTAATTTCTATTATTACTCGTCGACATAAAAATCAATTTACCTGTTATAAATTAAAGTGATAATGTTTCTTATTCCACATATTTTGCACGAAATATTTGTTTTAATATTTAAATGTTTTTAATATTACTTAAAATTTTATTTGACTAATAAGAATTGAATACAATTTTATTTTTATTATTATTTTTAAAAATTTTAATATTTACTTTTAATACGAATTATTTTGTTGTTTAAAACACTTTGAAACAATTTTTATACGGGAATAAAGTTGTGGTATAGATGTTATTAATTATTTTGTTATTTAAATCTAGCAATACGAATTTTCATTTAACCACCTTTCTGTCATATTTCTTTTATTCAGATTATTTTTTTTAGATAATAAATTCAATGCTATTTGTATCTGACAGAATAATAATTCCTTATTTTTATTTTTTAGAATAAATATTATGTACCTCGAATTTTCTGACTAAAAAAATCGATGAATTAAAATTTTGGTTGAGATAATTTTAATAAGGCGCTACTTGGAGAAACACGCAGTCAAATTGAAATTATGTAAACCAAAATTTTAATTCATCGAATTTCTTAGCCAGTTAATTCAAGATGCGCAACATTTATTTAAGAAAAAGTAATACTGAAATTATCATTATGTCGCAATTAAAATGTTGGTTATCACTCGTAAACATAATTTTAATTTGGCACTAGTGCATAGTGCGGTTGTGTTACGTACTACTGCCACCAAGCGAAATCACATAACGTCGAAGGCTTAAAAATATAGATCACACCAGAACGATGTAAATATATATGGAAATTTATCTGATACACCAAAAAATAAATTGGTAGATTTTAATTTATAATTAAATTTATTTTAGTAATTTTTATGAACGTTTATATTTTCAATTTTTAATTTCGGTAATTTTTGTTTTGAGTTAATTTTTTGATGTCATTAAAAAGTAAAACAGCGTGCCATATGGAAAGTTTACATCATAAATATTAATGTTATTTTTTTTATTTAAGCTTACAAATGTTCTTAAAGGGCATTTTAAAGATCTTTTTCATAATCGTAAGGCTGTAACTACTTTATTATTACGTCCATAAAATTTTAATACTCAAAAGTAAAAAAAAACAATACTACCTTATAAATTGTTTTAAGGCTGAACACAATTAAAAAAACTGTCTGATATTATTTAGTTTAATAAAAATATTTAATACAACTTAATTATTTATCAAATTTTGGCCTTTTATTTTTTCTTTTTGGTGAATCTGTTGCCGTTTCACGACAAAGTGACCAATAGTATTTACCGAGCATGTGCACCAAATTTTTACCTTTAAATCTAGTTTCGATTAAAGCTATGTCTTGGTGGATATAGATGATTATGCAAAAAATGAATTTTTAATCACTTTAATACTCCCATATGCAGAGATCATTTTTTGCACAATTTCTATATAATTTTCAGCTCGATGGCTACCAAGAAAGTTTTCAAATACATTAACAGCAGATGTCAGAGCTTCTTTTTCAACTGGGTTTAATTTGGAAATGAAAATTTCGCTTTGAATGAGCTTTTTAACTTGTGGCCCATTTAAAACAACCTAAAAATATTAGAAAAATTTAGTTTATCATTATTTCTTATTCTGAAATTAATATACCATCAATTTTTGCTTGTGGTAACCTTGGAGATATTTTCTCGTAAAATAACTTGGAACCTTACTTTAGAATAGTATTAATAGTCCGGGAGGCAGTGAAGATTTTCGGTACTTATTTTCCCAGTCGGCAAACACCGATACAATTATTGGGTTTGTTATTCTGAGCAAAATTTATATATATTTAGGGGGGGTTTTCCGATGGGTTAAGGCGGAAAATGCGTTATAAAGTACAAATATATTGCACTTTTTTTTCCAGTGATAAAAATAATTCCATTAGTGAGAGATATAGTGAACTTAAGAAAAAAAATAGTCTGGCTAATCTGTGAGTATGGGTAATATGTCTGGCAGGTGGAAAAATTATCAAAACCATTGCCCTTATTTTCGCAGTCCTAAAAATTGTGTGAGATGATAGTTTATATTATAATTACAGCTGCAAATATAGTCTGGCTAATGTGGAACACTCCGAAAGCCTTGCCAGACTCGTCCAACCCTCCACAGGCGCGCTAAATTCGGCATGTTCAATTATACAGGCGATTGTTGTCATCTCTACATGTTTTTACTTTTCATAATGTATGATAAGAAAATAATTTGTGTAAAGCAAAATTTAAATATGGCTAAAAAAAAATGTCAGTCCGTCCGCCACCAAAAAACTTTATTCGCGAATAACTTTGTAACTGTCAGAGATACGAGAAAATTTGTGCAGTTGTTTTTTGTAGGATTATCTACAAAATCGATCTCTTGACAGTCTTTTGTATCTCCCTTAGTTTTTGAGTTATATCAATAAAAAAAAAGAAAATCGCGAAAATT